TTCAATAATCTGTACTATAGAAACAAGTGCACAACAAGAAGGGTATTTTGATAATTTTGCCAAAAACATATTGTCCCTCAAGCACTGTGATCCCTTGGAAGCTCTATTTTTGAATCTGGGACTTGTACTCAAATATGTAAGCCTCTTGATCCTTATAGCCAATATCCCTTTTTAAAAAATAGAGGGACTAGAATTGACTAAAACTCTATGGACCGAAACCTATATTTTTTACTTAAATTTTTCTCAATATTTTATATAAATATTGTACACTTTTGGTCTACCAAAAAAAAAAAATTGCAAACTTCATATTGTATATATCTTATTCAATCTCCACCCCTTTTTATAATTAAATTTTGAATCTGGCTCTATGGAATTTCACATGTGTAAAAGTAAGATTTACGATTTTGATCTCTCTCTTTGTCTATTTTATCGCACAAAATACTTTAGAGGATTAATCCGGTTGGCATATTTTTCATGTTAAAAAAGAAAAATAAATAAATTGATTTTCAGATATTTGCATTCCTATGACTTGTCTCTTTCTCAACCCTTCAGGACATTGACGTGGATGCTCTCAACACCTCTTTAAAATAAGTTTCATACAAATATGCAGGCCAAAAAAATTGATTCACGTCGTCTTCAAAAAAATTGATTCAAGTCCATTTTAATTTCATTCTTATGTGATCAATATTTAATTTTTTTTTATTTGACCCATTTTTTAAGCCAATCAAACTATATATTGAGAATCCATAGTTTGGCCCAAAAAAAAAAAACAGAGAATCAATAGACTAATTTTTCGATCGAATCAGAATCAATTTGTCCTGGAGTTAATATTTTTTATACTTATAATCGTACAACTTTCTTTTTTTCCAGAAAAAAAAATTACCTCACATGACAGAGATTGCTATGCCCTTATTTTGAAGGAGTCCATTAATTGATACCCACAAATAAAATAAATGATAATCTGAGTTTTAAAATGTGTTTGATGAAAGCACTGAACAACTAAGAGACAACGTGCAAATTAATGGACCATCACTCTTTAAGATTCAATTCTTTTGTGGGAGAGAATAATATTAAAGAAGCAAACAAAATATTTAGAGAGAGAGAGAGAGGATCAATTACTTTCAATGTATCAATTTGCAAAAAGAAGCAAGTTGGCAAGTTGGCCCTCTTCATAACCATTTTTATAAGCACAACCAAATATTACATTAGTAGTTTAGTACCATGCTTTCCCCACCATTACCACACCACTTACTCTCTCTCTCTCTCTCTCTCTCTCTCTCTTTAAAAAATAATAATGTTAGCAACAATACAATTTTATTTCATGTTTTATATACAATATTTTTTAAAGATAAAAGTTTATGTGATTTGGGTCTCAATAATTTATTAGGATTATGACATGCCTTTAAACTCAAAGGAGGTTTACATATGCATTTATAAATTGTCCATTAATAAGGTTTTAACGTTAGTAATGAGATTTAAACTCATAACCTTATAAATTATAGGTCAAACCCTTACTAACTTGATCAATATTTGTTAGTTTTATTATATAATACTTAATATTTGGTATTAAATTCAAACGTTTTTGAGCTTTAAGTGGAAATAATTTTCTCAAAGATGTCTTTTATTGGTATTTTATTATATACTTTCCATCAAATGATTTGACGCATAGTTATTTTTTATTAAAAATAAAAATATTAATAATTTTAAATTTTAAAATTTTTAAGTGTATCTCTATAATTTTGTTGTGACAATCCATTTGGTATCTAGCATTATTAGCCACTGTTTCTAAACAGAGATGACACTAAACAATAATTCAAACAAAATAAACAATTACGCGCGTAGTTAAAAAATTGAGGAAAATTGCGAGTGCCTTTTTACAATATATAAAATTTGAACCGGACATTTAATTTAATTGGTAAAAGAATTACATTAGTTTAACTAAATATATTAAATTTAAACTCTAGAAATACAATAGTGTTTGGGGTAGAATTTCCATTTGAAAGGATCCTATCCTAGCTTGATCAATATTAGTCTAGTCTTCGTTAAAGTTTTCTCAACTCGATGTTGGATAAATTCATGATACCCGGTGTTCTATGAAAAAAATTTGAATCACACGTAACTAATTTTCTTAAATTTTATATCATATGCTTATAATTATTTGATATCTTGTATCATTTTAATTGTTGCAGTCAAATTTTTTTAAAAAATAGGGAGAATCACATTATTCACAAAAAATGACAAATATAAAATAGATTATTATTAAAATAAAAACATAACTTATTTTTTATCTAATAAAATTTGTTATTGATTTTTGTTTGTATATAATTTTCTTCCTACCAAAAAATACTCCTCATCAATTGGGCTACACAGTTCATGATATGCTCTAGATTCCTTATAATCAATCTCATATCTAAAGTCTGTCTCTTTCTTAATTCTTTGTCTGGCATTTTGTCATGAGGATAAACATTTAAGAGCCAATGGTCTCATTTTACAGTGGAGAAAGCCCAATATCATTTGTCCCCACTTTGTTGAGTAATCACTTTGATGTGCTTAGGAATACTACCCCCTTCATCCCCGAATCCTAATTATAATGGGTCCTATTTTTAGAATTGGAGGAAATAGTAATTATTAAAAACATTATTTTTGCATCAAAGTACATAGCTGGAGCTACTTAGTAACGAATATAACAAATTTTATTCCATTAAATGAAATTGATTATATAGATTGTACAATATCATTATACTTCTTATCAATAATCAAGCTTTTAAATATATTATTAATTAAGAGATTTCACTTAACAAGTTTTGTAAGTGTTTTTTTTTTTCCTCTATTCCTCTTTACATAACTTAAGACTATTTATTTTACTTTTTTCACTGGCACTTCTCATAATTTTCCTTATATGTCCAAACTATTTAATGGGAGACTCAGAGCTACTTAACCTTTAAAAAAAAAATTACCATCAATCTTCACAATTTTCAAATCGATGCAACATGAATCTTCTAACATTTTGTTCAAATCTCCAATATAGTGTCTGTATATACATTTATTTATTTAAATCCTTTACACTACTGCATTAATTATTGTGTCACCTGATTTGTATTAACAGATATACAGTTTTGTTTCTTATATCCGGCATTTGAGATACAATTTTAGTTTCAGTTTATCATATGTACGTAAACTTGTCTACACTTGACAATAAAAACCACAAAATAAGACAAGAATAGAATCAAATACTTATTCATCCAAGACTTATATATATATATATATATATATATATATATATCCTATCCTAGCTTGATTGATATTAGTCTAGTTCTCGTTAAAGTTTTTTCAACTTGACGTTGGGTAAGTTCATGATACCCGGTGTTCTATGAAAAAAACTCGAATTACACCTAACTAATTCTCTTAAATTTTATATCATATGCTTATAATTATTTGATATCTTGTATCATTTTACAGATTTTGCAGTCAATTTTTTTTTTAAATAGGGAGAATCACATTATTTACAAAACATGACAAATATAAAATAAATTATTGTTAAAATAAAAACATGATTTATTTTTTATCTAATAAAATTTGTTGTTAATTTTTGTTTGAGTATAATTTTCTTCCCACCAAAAAAGTTGTCGTCATCAATTGGGCTACACAGTTCATGATATGTTCTAGATTCCTTGTAATCCATCTCATATCTAAAGCCTGTCTCTTTCATAATATCTTTGTCTGGCATTTTGTCATGAGGATATACATTTAAGAGCCAATGGTCTCATTTTATAGTGGAGAAAGCCCAATAATCATTTTTCCCCACTTTGTTGAGTAATCACTTTGATGTGCTTAGGAATACTACCCCCTTCACTCCTGAATCCTAATTATAAGGGGTCCTATTTTTATTATTGGAGGAAATAGTAATTTATTAAAACAATTAATTTTTGAGTCAAAATACATAGCTGGAGCTACTTAGTAATAAATATAACAAGTTTTACTTCATTAGATTAAGTCGATTATATAAATTATACGATGCTATTATGCTTTTTATTAATAATCAAGCCTTTAGATATATTGTTAACTAAAAGGTTTCACTTAACAAGTTTTGTAAGTGTTTTTTTTTATTATTTTCCTTTGCTCCTCTTTATATAACTTAAGACTATCTATTCTACTTTTTTTGCTGGCATTTCTCATAATATTTTCTATATATGTCCAAACCATTTAATGGGAGACTCAAAGCTACTTAACCTTTAAAAAAAAAAAATTACCATCGATCTTCACAATTTTCAAATCTATGCAACATGAATCTTCTAACATTTTGTTCAAATCTCCAATATAGTGTGTGTATATATATTTATTTATTTAAATCCTTTACACTAATGCATTAATTACCCATAACTTGTTCTTGGGCTTGAATATCAAATAATTTGAGTTTCAATTATTTGCGTAGGTTAAAATCAGTTCATGCAAATCTCGTGTTATTTCAACTGGCGAACAAGAACACTTTTGTAATCTCTTTATACTTGTTCCCTTCTCCAATCACGAGAAAATCCAAAGAGACAAATTAGATTGGATTAGCGTCTACTATAGGTAAAAATGATCACATTAAAGAAATAAATGAGAAAGGATTAGCAAAATCCAAAAAATTCATAATTAACAAATATTATATTTATAATCATATAATGTAAATTTTTTTTAAAAAAAGGGACTGCTCAGGCCTTTAACCACTTTTGGGACCCCAATAGTACCGAATTGAACTCAAAATATTTCATCAAGCATCAATAATGTTAACTGTAACAATTAAAAATGATTTAGAAAAGAAGAAGAAAACAAAATTCTTAGTCCTTTGCTTGTGTCACCTGATTTGTACTAACACATATACCTTTTTGTTTCTTACATCCGGCATTTGAGATACAATTTTAGTTTCAGTTTATCATATGTATGTAAACTTGTCTACACATGACAATAAAAACCACAAAATAAGACAAGAATAGAATCAAATACTTGTTCATCCAAGACTTCTATAAACTTTGATAATCAACTTTAATATGATTTATATATGGTATGAACTTTGCAGAATCTGCAGAAGAGAAAACTATAGGGTCAAGAATGGCAAAGCCACATGTTCTGGTCATACCTTACCCTGTGCAAGGACATGTGATTCCCCTAATGGAGCTTTCTTTAAGCTTAGTTAAACACGGAATCAAAGTAACCTTTTTAAACACCAAGTACAATCATGAGAGGATCATTAGCTCATTTCCAGAGGGAAGTGACATAGAATCACAACTTTGTCTGGTGTGGATAGCTGATAGTTCAGAATCTGCAGAGAAGACAAAAAAGCCAGTAACCACTGGAGAAGTCTTGAAGCACATGCCTGGGAAAGTTGAGGAGCTCATTGATTGCATGAATGGTTCAGAAACTGAGAAGATAAACTGTGTTCTTGCTGATCAAAGCATTGGGTGGGCCCTTGATATTGCAGAAAAGAAAGGAATTTGGAGAGCAGCCTTCTGTCCTGCAGCAGCAGCACAGTTGGTGCTTGGATTGATCATCCCAAAGTTGATTGAGAATGGAATCATTGACAAAAATGGTCAGTTCGTAATACTTCATTTCCCTTTTGGTTTTGTAGTATAGGGTTCAAGAGCGCTGATAAGTATCCATTGTTTATATAATTTTGACATCACTTTCTCTAGCATTTGACAACTTTTAGGGGCATTTTGAGTTTGATAGAGATCTTTTGGATGGCCAAGTTTGTAATTTTGGGAACTTTTGGGACATAAATGCAATTAATGAAAGTTTTAGGGCAAAAGTGCAAGTTTCGGAAATAATTTCTGAAATTTTGAAAACTTGATCGTTGATTAGTTTTGAGTTCTTCTTTAATCTCAATGGGCTTTTATGCTAAAATATTTGTTTTGGAGGGATGAAACTTAGTTATTTAGAACACAATAACTTGATTATGATATCTTTCCTTTTAACAATTTCCAGGAACTCCATTGAGAAAACAAACCATTCAACTATCACCTACAATGCCCAGCATTAGTACAGAAAATCTTGCCTGGCTTAATGTAGGGAACCAGACCACTCAGAGGCATATTTTTGAACTCATGATGAGGAACATCAAGTCTATGCAGCTTCCTGAATGGCTTCTCTGCAACTCGAATTTTGACCTTGAGCCATTTGCATTTAAAGAGGCTCCAAATATCATACCTATAGGGCCACTTATGACAAGCAATCCTTCAGGAAACTCAGCAGGCAACTTCTGGCCCCAAGATCTCACTATTATGAAATGGCTAGATCAACAGTCACCAAGTTCAGTAATTTATGTTGCATTTGGAAGTTTTAGAACTATGAGTCTAACCCAGTTTCAAGAACTGGCTTTAGGTCTTGAACTTTCCAATAGACCTTTTGTCTGGGTTGTACAACCAGACTTCACAGAAGGGAAGAATTATGAATACCCAGAAGGGTTTGAAGATAGAGTTGGTGATCGCGGCCGAATGGTGGGTTGGTCGCCACAGAGGAAGATTCTGACCCATTCTTCAGTTGCTTGCTTCATAAGCCACTGTGGTTGGAACTCCACCATGGAAAGCGTAAGCAATGGAGTTCCAATTCTGTGCTGGCCTCACTTTGCAGACCAGTTCCTGAATAAGAGCTATGTCTGTGATGTTTGGAATGTAGGCATGGATTTAGAGCAAGATAGAAGGGGCATAATCACAAGCAGTGAAATCAGAAACAAGATTGAGCAAGTCTTGAATGATGGGGATTTGAAGGAAAGGTCAAAACTTCTCAAGAAAAAGGTCCTTAATGGAATTAGACAAGGTGGTAGCTCAAGCAATAATCTAGATAGTTTCATCAAGTGGATCAAAACTAAGAATTAGATTAGATCCACAATGTGTTACTATGATGTTAAACAACTCAACCTACCATGAAAATAAATGAACGAGATCCAAATCCATATATATATATATCCTCTGAAAGGTGTTGGTCACCTACCTTTCACAACTAGTTTTGTTTCTTTATGGTTGCTTGTAACAAGCGTTGATAATTTTACAGTCTGTAAACTTAGCCTTCAATGAAGTCATGCCAAAGAAGTTGGAAATGTTCAAACGATAAATCAATGGATCACACAGTCACAAGATTAGTTGTGTGGTTGCAGAGAAGGTGGAAATCTACCAAACTACATTCTCAGCTTCAGCTTCATACCCTTTTATAGCCTTGTCTCTTAGCAGCATCCTGAAGCTGATCAATGATTGAATCACGAGAGAATGACATTTAAGGCCCTCTCAATAAATTTTGTAATAATGACTCATCAATTTTGTATTGAATACTGTCTTGTGAAAACATATATATATTGTCATTAAAAGTTGAACCTTTACTTATTAAATTTTTAAGAAAATCCTAACAAAAAATACAAGTTAAAGTTCAGCTTTCAACAATAATATATACATTAAAACATGATGAACATTTTACTCTAAAAAATGTTAGAAATTACATTAAAACTATCCATCAGCCCTCACTTGATCACTCAAACTTTTGAGTTCAAATGATCTTTTGATATAGCATCAAAGCCTCAATTATTATTAGCCTTCATAAGAGCCGCCAAATAATAATTTAGTACAAAAGGCTTGGACTGTTCAAAAGGTGCTGGATTCATCATTTTAGGAACATCAACCAAAAATCAGATTATTCTATTGTAACCAAACATTACTGCTATGAGATCAAAAGATTATTAGTGTGTCCACAGTGACCATTTAAACATACAAAAAATTTATGTTCAACGATATGAGAAACAATAGTGAAGCCATGGAAGTTGCAATGCGAACTAGTTGATCTGCAACTCAACTGATGAACTTGAGCCTTCTATATTTGCTTTTTCCATAGGGATTCTTCCTAGCTATAGGTTCACTTATGGCAACCAAGAATAAACATTGTGGCATTTAGAAGGATTCTAGTTTTGTCTATAATATCAGATATGAAGCAAACTAGACGTTCCTAAAAGCGTTTGAAGACAAATTGTAAAAATTTAATTGATTTTTTTTTTTAATGAGTGGAGTAGAGGAAAACTAGAGGAAATGCAATAGAGAACCCAACATTATAAACAATTACATATTTGTTTCCTTGATGTCCTAGCTTTGCCGACCAATTCTTTACTGAGACATACTTTTATGATATCTAGGGAAGAAATAACATGTAATAATTATGATGAAAAAGGTGCTTCATGACAAAGTTGTAATAACCCCAAAATAATAATAATAATAATAATAATAATAATAATAACTGGTGGATATTTTTTTGTAATTTCCTCAACAAGCTTTGATCTTGTTATGTAATTTTCCCCATGATCCTCTTTATTCAAATTCTCTTCCTCTTCGTCGGTTAGAGCAGCAGAAACAGAGCGAGCGAGCGAAAGAGAGGTCTTCAAAGCTTGCACCGACCTTTGTCATCCATTCTTCCTCTTCCGTCGCTCATCTCTGCCGGATCCTTTGTTTCTTCTGTTCTTCCTTTCCTTTTCTTCTCCCGTTTGCTGGTGTGAGTGAGTGTAGTTGCTAATCGAATACCGGTACCGTGGGTTTCGTTAGACACGTGACTTCCTCCTCCTACTCCCTTCTTTCCATGCATGAAGGCCGAGTAGCTGGTTTGCTGTTACTGGAGGTTTGCTTGGTGATTTCTTTTTCTTCCTTGTGTGTGCTGTCGATTTCTTCTCCCTTCCCTCGTTCCACCTGTGCTAATTTAGTAAGCTTTTTTTTTTTTTTTGCCAATTTAGTAAGCTGAATTCTTCATTTTCTTATTTGTGTTGTTGATGTGTACTGTGTGAGTGTTGAACATGAACATTGATATTCTTCTTATTTTAGATATTAAATTTTAAACTCTTTCCTTACTCTTTTGAATTAGAGCTGCATGTGTAAGGGGAGGATTGTTTATTTAACTAATGTTAAATTGAAGCCTTAAGTTTTGTTGCTTTACAGGAAAATCATGACATATATATATATATATATATATATTATTTACGTTGATCCTTGGCAAAGGATGATTAAGAAGCATAATTAAGATTATGTTATAACAATACAATTAATTTGGCTAAGAATAAAAAATAGAGAATTTGAATGCATAAATAAGAATGCATGAAAAATTGATTCAATATGTAGAAAGATTTATTAAAATTTTATTATATCTAATAGGGAGTCTAGAAGAAGAGAAGTTTGATTGAAGTTGTGAGAAGAAAATTTTAAGGACTTGACGATATATCAAGTAAGTAATTACCGTTTCTCAATAAAAAGAAGTGATGTCTAACTTTATTTATTTATTTATGAATTAATGAATAAAATAGACTTTTAAGTATTATACAAAAAGTACCCTGAACATTAAACTCTTAAAATGTACAAAATAGATCTTAAACTTTTAAATTTATAACAAATTAAATCCTACCGTTAACTTTTTTTAAACGCCGTTACTGTTTATTTGTTAATTAGCGTCACAGACCCTAAATTATTACGCTAGTAGCGTCCTACATTCTAAACTTTAAAATTTTGAGCAAATTGCCTCCAACATTTGTGTATAGAATATTGATTATTATGTAGATCAAATTAGCCTCAGCGTGGCTTGCCTTAGTGAACACATCGTTGACCATGGCGAACGACTCATAATTTTGTGAAATGATATTTTTGCCCCTTTTTGCAATGTTTTTAAAATGATTGGTATCACATGCTTTCATATACTCTATAACCCTAATTTAGTCTTATTTTAAATAATGTTTATTTATTTAATGGTTAAAATTTGGGATCGCATTGAAAAAAAGTTTAAATATTAGAGAATTTTAATTAACCAGTTAATTTAAGTTTTAAATTCATGTATAAAATCGTTGGATTTTGCATCCATCATTTGTAAAATCTTCTAATATTTAAATTTCTTTTCAAATGAAATACTAAGTTTTTACTATTAAATAAATAAACGTTATTCAAAGTAAGACTAAATTAGAGTTATAAAGTATATAGAAGTATGGACCACTAATCATTTTGAAAATATTGCAAAAAAAGGGTAAAAATGTCATTTCACAAAATGATGGATTGTTCGCCATGGCCAATGATGTGTTTATCGTGGTGGGTCACGATGAGGTTAATTTAATCTACATAATGGTTAACATTCTATACATAAACATTACAGGTAATTTGCTCAAAATTTTAAAATTCAGGATTCAAGATACTATTAACGTAATAGTTTAGGTTAGGGTTCGTAGCACTAATTAATAAATGAATAGTAACGATATTAAAAAAAAAGTTAATGGTAGAGTTTAATTTGTTATAAATTTAAAAGTTTACAATCTTTTATGCACATTTTAAGAGTTTAGGATTCATAGTACTTTTTGTGCAATATTTTAAGATTCATTTTACTCATTAATCCAAAATTTTTTTGTTGATGTGGCCATTAAGTTCCATGTGGCAACAGCATAAACCCAAAAGCTATCTCCTAAGTCCTAGCAATTATATTTTTTTTATTTTTTTATTTATTTTTTTGTTGATTCAATCTGCTTCGTGCATGTCACTCACAACTTAATGCATTTACGGACCTTTTTTGGTTTTGGGACAAATACATTTACAGACCTAAATATCTTTCCATTATATAGGCTCCAAACAAATGTATCTTTAAAACTACGAAATGAGAAAAATAAATAGTGAGAAAAATGATATCTTTAGACAATTTTAATTTTCATAAATTTAAATTAATTAATCATTAAATATAATATTAATATAGTTTATTTAACATTCATATTTTGTTATTGTGTGGGTCAATGTCATTACACTGTTGAAAAATTATTAATTTAATTATTTTCCTAAAATATTGTAGCACGTAGTTAATTAAAATTCTTTTCATAAGTAGACCAAGTTGGGTTGGGTAAGAAAGAAAAACCTATTCTTTTTCAAGCAGTTCTACGCAAACACATGTTCGCTGTATTAACTATTTAACTATTAATTCTAAAGGGATGTACTTTGTTTAAATTCAAGGTTTCTAATACTGTTCCTAGGTCCGTAAAAAATCATGAATTGGACTAGAAAGAGACAAGGATTTGGTGTGTGATGGAAATCATGCCTAATGTACGTGGAGCGATATCAGCTGTTGATATTAACCCTACGCATGCCCTCTACGAGACTGAGCAACACACAAGCAAATTCCAACAAAATTTTGTGTGAATACAAATAGAAGGATGGGATGAGATTTTTTTTTTTGGGTCACATCTTTCTCACAAGAGATTCAATTGAAAAAGAACTAGACATATTTAATTTGTCATTTTATATGCATTTAAAAATGTTGATTATAATATTAAAGTTGAAATTTCTCAATTCAAATAACACCTACTTTTATATCAATAAGTGGCCACTAGTCATAATCATGACGTGGTTTGGAAATGAGACACTTTTGCCATATCTTTCATCTTGTTGGCGATTTTTTTGGCCAACTTCTTGGTGATTATAACCACATGATATTGAAAATAAATAAAAAATGAATTCGATAGAAATATATTAATGAAAGAAAAAATGTTACTCTCTTCATTTAATATTATAAAGTATTTTTAATTAAATTATATTATACTTTTTAATTAATTAGTTAATTATAGTTAACATTGCATATTTTTTTTTATATTTACCCTTATTTGATAGAGTATCTCAATTAGAAAATCTTATTAATTACATTCTCTAGTTAAGTGTATTTTTATAATTGCACGTTAAAATATTCAAAATGCCTTATTTTTTAATCCAGTTATTAAAATTTATTATATGAATGGTTTTTGTTATGATATACTCAATTAGATCTCATCAACATAAGAATTTGTGACAATTGGGCATCATTACCATGTTGATATATTTTTTTACCACAATTATCAATTAAAAAAACTAAATAATAAATTCAATAAACAAGCAATAGAATTTTTTAGATTGAACAGAATTTTAAATCTTAATGATGCATTTAAATTATTCAATACTCATGAAAAAGATGAAAACTTCACCAATTAAATGATAGTTTATATTAAGAAGGACATTGCTGAAAATTTTATTGTAGACATAATAATTAATTACTCTTATGCTATGAAAAATTGATAAGCAAAACTTAAAAAAATGAAAGTATATATTTATTTTGTAATATATGTATATATAATTGAACATAAATATATATGTTGAAATATTTATGTTATGTTAGTGATATATATAGATTTAATTTTTTTTTGATTATCATATATGCTTTGTCATCTCGGCCTCTTTAATAAAATTTTTTGGCT